AATCCAGGACCGCTGGCTCCTAACCGCTTGCCTGCCTGCCTGCCTAGTCGCCCCTAACCACTGTGCCTACCAGCCTGCTCACCCCCAACTGTCCCCCTCCCGGATGGCCTGATCACCCCCAACTGTCCCCCTCCCCTCCTGGCCTGATTGCCCCAACCACTTCTGCCTCAGCCCCACCACCATGGCTTTGTCCGGAAGGACATCCAGTCTCCCGGAAGATCTCCTGGTCTAATTAGCATATTAGCCTTTTATTAGTATAGACTAGTGGCCCAGCTCGTGAAATTGTGCACAGTAGGCTGCCCACTGTGGAAGCCAGCGGGAGCTGTGCTGCTTCTGTGGGAGGGAGGCAGGAGCCATGGTGCACCCGCGGGAGGGAGGCGGGAGGTCCTGCTGCACTGTGGGACCCAGAGTCAAGTCCTGCTGAGCCACGGGACCCAGAGTCAAGTCCCCACCCACCCGCATGCTCCATGCACCTCCTGGTGACCATAACAGCGTCACGACCACAGGCCTTTTATGATATATTATATATACTAGAGGCCTGGTGCATGAATTCGTGCACCAGTGGCATCCCTTATCGTGGCCTGTGGGGATCGGGCTGAAACCAGCAGTCCAACACCGCCTGCCACTCCTGCATGCCACTCCTGCTCATCCTGGCCCCGCTATGCCTGCTGCTGCCCCCGCTCAGTAGGCTTGCTGCCGCTGCACTGTGGTCTCTGGGCTGCGGTGGTCAGCCATGAGCCCTGCATCTGGCACCCGTCTGTCAGCTGAGCGGTGCTCCCGCTTTAGGAGTGCACTGAACACCATGGGTAAGCTCCTGTGTTGAATGTCTGTACCCTGGTAGTCAGTGCGCATCATAATGACCGGTTATCCCTTATCGTGGCCTGTGGGGATCGGGCTGAAACCAGCAGTCCAACACCGCCTGCCACTCCTGCATGCCACTCCTGCTCATCCTGGCCCCGCTATGCCTGCTGCTGCCCCCGCTCAGTAGGCTTGCTGCCGCTGCACTGTGGTCTCTGGGCTGCGGTGGTCAGCCATGAGCCCTGCATCTGGCACCCGTCTGTCAGCTGAGCGGTGCTCCCGCTTTAGGAGTGCACTGAACACCATGGGTAAGCTCCTGTGTTGAATGTCTGTACCCTGGTAGTCAGTGCGCATCATAATGACCGGTTGCTTAGGCTTTTATATAAATAGAGGATTTGAATAAAATACTGAAGTGTCCTAGGGTTCAGTTCTAGTTCCTCAGGCTTGATAAACTAACTACCCTTGGAGGGGAGGTGTGATTAGTCCTACTCTACCAATGAAGAAACAAGTCCTCTAACACAGGACATTTGAGGAAAGTCATGTAGAAAGCGGAATGGCAGGGTTGTATTTTTCTTTCTTTTTGAATATATTTTTATTGATTTCAAGAGAGAGAGAGAGAGAGAGAGAAACATCAATGATGAGAGAGAATCACTGATTGGCTGCCTCCTGCAGGCCCCCCGACTGGGGATGGCAATCTTGGCCTGTGCCCTGACCTGACCAGGAATCGAACCTGGGACTCTTCAGTCTGCAGACCAATGCTGTATCCACTAAGTCAAAACGGCTACGGCAGGTTTGCGTTTTTATTGATGAGCAAAATATCCTCAGGACCTAACAGTACTGGGGCATTTTGTTTGGGAAAAAGGATTGTCTTCACGTCTGTAAATTCCTGTAAGTGCACGCACCGCTTTCTGGGGTTGAAGCCAGAAATAATCATTTCATTTCCGAAAGGGTCCCAGGTAGAAGAAATGTCGCTTCCTTACAAGTCACCAATTGGGTCGCTCTACGCAGGGCTAAGCACTGTGCCAGATGCAGTAAACTTGAAAGCCAGCCTTCAAGGAAAGGACGCAGGGAGAGGGCAGCCGGGGCAGGCCACTACTTCGGGCGGAGCCAGCCCCAGCAGGAGGCCCTCCTGCTCATTTCCATATATTGTGAAATAAAGCCGCGGAGCCCGGAAGTGACGTACTTCCGCGCGCCGGCTCACGAACACGTACTTCCGGCGCGCCGCGCGCCGCGCGCTGCTTGACACCAGCCTCGGTGTCCCGGGGCCGCCTCAGACCGGCACGATGGGCAAGAAGGGCAAGAAAGAGAAGAAGGGCCGCGGGGCGGAGAAGACGGCCGCCAAAATGGAGAAGAAGGTGTCCAAGCGCTCGCGGAAGGAGGAGGTGAGCGGG